ATAAACGGTGAGCCAGCAGTGACTGCAGAGCCTCAAACTGGTTCCTGCTGACTGACAACTAACGAGACTGGAAGATGTTCAACAAAAGGGATCAGATCAGGTTTGTAGGGGACCTGAACTAATCCCTTCCTGAACTTCCAGACATGTTCAGACTTTTATAGACGTCGAATGAAAAGAAGACAACGAGATAAAAGAAGAAACTTTTACACTCGATGGTTACGGACCCGTCGTTTATGTATTGATCTGCATTTATAACAATTTCTATCTGAGCATCAGGATCACGATCCAAAAACAATCATTTCCCAAAACTGTAATCAGCAGATGTTTGGCAATAGTTGATTAGCTAAATTAAAACCTCATTTCTGGAATTGGGACAGCTGAAACATCTGCAAGAATGTTTGACGGTCCGAGGTCGGAGGTCACGCGGATAGATGTGAGTTATTTCTTACTGAACCGAGCCTGAAATAAACTCAACGCTGAAGGTTTCCCACACAGAGGGTTCACATGGAGACAGAGAGTCAGCAGAGCCTCAGTGTGTGTGTGTGTGTGTGTGTGTGATGGATGGTTCAATCAGAACGAACTATAGGACCAATCCCACCGCTGTTTATGAAGTTGTAGCCCATTAACTACAGATGTTGTAAACTTTATTTCACAGCCACAGAAAGCTTCAGTTGTTTGAATGTTGAGTTTAGAAACTAGCTCGAAGCGTTTAATCCATCAGAGTCATTACAGCCGATTACGTTCGGCCTCCGTAGAGTCTGAAGCTCGTTACCGAGCAGAGATAACATCACAACGAGGTCGATCGTATCGGTGAACTGGACTCTACTTTAATATACGATCACAGGTTTAACAGCGGGTTTGTGTGAAGGCATCAGTTGTTAAACATTTACAAACACTGGCGACGTCTGTGAGTCCGTCGGTTCGGAACGACGGGAGGAAAACGTCTCGATTTGGTGTTTTTGGTGTTTTTGTTGGTTGTTTTTTGGCAGAAACTTACAAACGTCGAACTTCACGACCCCGACATGAGTTCAGTATCTGATGGCAGTTACATTCCACCATAATGATGCTGTTTACCACCATCAGCTTTATGTTTGTGCTTCTTATTTAGTTCTTACTTGTTTTGGATTAAGTGACTGAACGCACTGATGTAACCGTCCAGGTGTCTCTTAAAGTGCGTAAACACGTTGTTCTGAATGCAGATGTGCAACGAGCGAACATCTGTCGCGTCGCGGGTATAAACGCGTCGTACAGCTGCTCCGTCGCTTCCACTCGTTGTAGTATCGGTTCCCGTGGCGTCCCCGCTCTCACCGCAGAGCAAACAGACAACCAACAACAGCCGGAGAGTGAAACCTTCGTGCTCCTCACCTTTCTCCAGAATGTCTTCAGCTCCTTCCTCCCACTGATCCTCCTCGTCTTCGTACTCATCGTCCACGTCTACAGAGAGAGAGAAACAAACGCTTTAAAACCCCGAACAGCAGCGAGGAAGAGGAGGCGGCATCAGACGAAGAGCGGTCGATTCGTACCGGCTTCGTCCAGGATGAACCCGCCGTGCCTCGGCTTCTTCCTGGGTCGATCGTCATCGTCCTCCTCCTCCTCTTCGTCGTACTCCTCCTCGTCTTCCAGGTCCTCCCCCTCCTCCTCCGCTACCTTGTCGCTGCCCACGGGGCTGTTAGTCTCCTGGAGAGGGACGAAGATCAACGGCGGACTTATCAGGATAACTTCATTAAAATAATAATAAAACTATTAACTTTATGTTCTCTGAGTTTGTGACGTTTACTACATTAAAGAAATGAACCTTTACAGAGTCGGAGCTGTTTGTTGTTGTTGTTGTTGTTGTTGTAAACAATAATGAGCTCAGTTATATTGTGATATAATAAATCTTAACCTTTAACCTCAGGTGTGTAAAACCGACAGGTTACTAACTTATCAATTATATATTATATTAATCCATACGTTCCTCGTGAGATATAAAGAGAACATATGGAAACATTCTCTCAATAAAAGGAGAAAAATATATTTTATTTATTGACAATAAAATCTAAATGTTTTATTGACTTTAAAGAGCTTTATTGTGACATACTGTCACCAGAGTGCCTCAGTGTTAATAACACGTGTTTAAATGAATAATAATGATTAATAACGAATAATAATGATTAATAATGAACTAATAATGATTAATAATGATTAATAATAACCCTTTCAACTTTATAAACACTCAGTGTCACTGTTTACCTCCACTGAGCGGTCAGCCTACCTCCTCCCTCCTACCTCCACCACCTTCCTCCACCTACCTCCACCTCCTCCTCCCTCCTCCTCCTCCCTCCTCCCTCCTCCACCTCCTCCTCCTCCACCTCCTCCTCCACCTCCTCCACCTCCCTCTCCCTCCTCCACCTCCCTCTACCTCCTCCTCCACCTCCTCCTCCTCCCTCTCCCTCCTCCTCCTCCTCCTCCTCTCCCCTCCTCCGCCTCTCCTCCCTCCTCTACCTACCTCCACCTCCTCCGCCTCCTCCGCCTCCCCGTCGCTGCTGCGTTCACTCTGGTTGTCGGAGAAGTCGCTGTCCTCGCTGTCAGACATGTTGTTTCCCTGCACGAACACACAACTTCACTTTCAGCTGGAATCGAACCCGCGAACCGACCGAGCGGCTAACAGCCGGCTAGCAGTGAGCTAACAGTGCTAACAGTCAGCTAGCAGTGAGCTAACAGTCAGTTAGCATCCGGCCACAACAATCAGCGCGGCCTAGCACAGCATGCTACCGCGGTTAGCATGGAGCTAACGTCGTCCGTATCTGACAAACAGCGGCGGTTTAATGTTCACCGACGAGCTCCGCGGCTGCTACTCACCTCCGGTAACTCCCGCCGCCGGTGTACTCCTCGTTCGTTGGCGGATTAATGTGATTATCGGCTCGGTTCGATAACTCTGATCAGTCGCTCACGTCTTCTTGGGGAAGAAGCGCGAGATTTGGAAAAGCTGCGCAAATGTCTCGCGAGATTTGGAGAGCGGATGGGTTGAGAGAGGAGGAGGTGTCACTCCGCTTCTGTTTGTTTAATATAAATATAATATACAGTTTAATTCAGTATAGAATACAATATAATAATAATAATAAGAGTTGATAATATAGGAAATGTGTTTTCTTATTATCTTATTATTAAAACAGAATTTATAAATTATATTATTAATATTAATAAAGTTTATCTTCTTATCTTCTTAACTTATTTTGCATTGGGGCCATAGTGACGCAGTTTTTGAGTACAAATGTCTTAAATTCGCTTTGGACATAGATAGATAGAAGAATGACAACGATATGCAGGTTGAATAAAGAAATACGTTTGAGTAAGCAAGGTTATTTTGACATTTACAACACGACGTCGTAGATTTAAAGTCAGATAATGCAGCAGTTCCCTTTATGCTACTTTAAACAGTAATAATAATCCTATTTAATGCTTATTATCATGTGTTTGTGTGTATTGGTTGTTATTGATCTCAAATGACTGCTTGTTTCATCAACCAACAACAGTTCATCTGTATGAAACGTTATACAAGAAGAACATTAATAAAGTGTTAAATGTCACAACAGTGTGCAGTGCTCTGTTGACAATAAAGTGAACACCGTGTTTTTCTATTTGACTTTATTTATTTTGCAATATATTGTTTTTGTTTTCATGAACATAACGATACGAATATTTACATCTCATCACAAACATTGTTTTCACTTAATATCCCATAATAATGACTTAATATCTCTTAATATCCCATAATAATGACCTTATATCTCTTAATATCTCATAATAATGACCTAATATCTCTTAATATCTCATAATAATGACCTAATATCTCATAATAATGACCTGATATCTCTTAATATCTCTTAATATCTCATAATACTGACTGAATATCTCTTAATAATTACTTAATATCTCATAATAATTACTTACTATCTCTTAATAATGACGTAATATCTCTTAATAATTACTTAATATTTCATAATATCTCTTAATATCTCATAATAATGACCTGATATCTCTTAATATCTCTTAATATCTCATAATACTGACTGAATATCTCTTAATAATTACTTAATATCTCATAATAATTACTTACTATCTCTTAATAATGACGTAATATCTCTTAATAATTACTTAATATTTCATAATATCTCTTAATATCTCATAATACTGACTGAATATCTCTTAATATCTCATAATAATGACTTAATATCTCTTAATATCCCATAATAATGACCTAATATCTCTTAATATCCCATAATAATGACTTAATATCTCATATCTCATAATAATGACGTAATATCTCTTAATATCTCATAATAATGACTGAATATCTCTTAATATCTCATAATAATGACTTAATATCTCTTAATAATTACTTAATATCTCATAATAATGACTTAATATCTCTTAATATCTCATAATAATGACCTAATATCTCTTAATATCCCATAATAATAACTTAATATCTCATATCTCATAATAATGACGTAATATCTCTTAATATCTCATAATAATGACTGAATATCTCTTAATATCTCATAATAATGACTTAATATCTCTTAATAATCACTTAATATCTCTTAATAATGACTTAATATCTCATAATAATGACTTAATATCTCTTAATATCTCATAATAATGACCTAATATCTCTTAATATCTCATAATAATGACTTAATATCTCTTAATAATGACTTAATATCTCTTAATAATGACTTAATATCTCATAATAATGACTTAATATCTCTTAATAATTACTTAATATCTCATAATAATTACTTAATATTTCATAATATCTCTTAATATCTCATAATACTGACTGAATATCTCTTAATATCTCATAATAATATTTCTTAATATCTCGACCTATTACTTTAAAAGTAATTATTTTCTATAAACAAACTTCCTCAGAGTGATCCCTCCCGCGTGCACACAATCTCTGACACGTCGTGACGTTCGCCGCCGTTCTCGAACCAGCCAATCACATCGCGCGGCTCACGGAGAGCCGCACAGTGCGCATGTCCGCCGGAGCAGACAGACGTCCACATCCCGTCCGTCCTCGCCCCGTTTGAGGACTTTCTGCCGGACATGAACAGCGTCGGGGAGGCCTGCACGGAGCTGAAGCGGGAGTACGACCAGTGCTTCAACCGCTGGTTCGCCGAGAAGTTCCTGAAGGGGGACCGGAGCGGCGACCCGTGCACCGACAGCTTCCGGAAGTACCAGCGCTGCGTGCAGAAGGCCATCCGGGACAAAGACATCCCGATCGACGGGGTGGACTTCATGGGCCCCAGCAAGGACAAACCCGAGAGCTGATCGCAATGTGCCCTTATCGATCCGTCGATCCATCGATCCACACGCCGTCCCCCACCGTGGAGGCCCCACTGAGCATGCGCAGAGGCAGGCCTGATGGCGCAGTGGGAAGAGGAGTTAAACTGATCCCAGAACAGTTTCATTAAGTTTCATCTGCTGCTGCTTCTGTTGTTTCTCTGTGTTGACCATGAAGAATGTGCTGCTGGTAGAGGCCATTAATCAATTATAATCAATTATAATCGATTAGAATCAATTATAATCAGTTGTAATCAATTATAATCGATTGTAATCGATTATAATCAATTATAACTCAATTATAATCGATTACAACTGATTATAATCAATTATAATCAATTATAATCAGTTATAATTGATTATAACTCGATTATCATCAGTTATAATCAAGTTATAATCAATTGTAATCGAGTTATGATCAGTTATAATCGATTATAATCGGTTGTAATCGATTAGAACTGTGTCTGGTCGCTGCTCCTCTGTCTCGGTGAGATCACTCTGTTCTGGGTTTTTGGACACTAACGAGACGTCTCTCTCTGTTTTCAGACATTTTATAAACTAAAAGATGAACTGGAATAATAACGATCACATCGATCAACGAATGTTCCTTTTCACTTGTTTCTGTTTGAGTTTATTGAACATGAGTGTTTGCTGCCGGTAGCGTCGATTAATCAATAATCGTTGCAGTCATTAAACGAGTAAACACAGATTATTGTTTTTGTCTCAGCGAGCTCCCTCTGTTCTGGGTTTTGAACACAAACGAGACATTTGCAGATGTTAATAACCATTACATCATTCAACGGAAAAACAGCTAACCAGGTCAGAGGTCAGTTGGGAAGCAGCGCTGCACAACCATGTTTCCTCTTTAAATTCCTGTCACATGTGGCTACATTATTTATTATTTTTATTATTTAGTTTCTGTGAAAGAAATTGAACTTTTTAATTGTGCTGCATTCATGTAAAACACAGTAAAGTTAAAAAGGGTCAACAGCTGTAATCATGGCGCTACTGTCCTTAAAATAAATGAGGACAGATGTTTTCTTTCCCCTGAGTGAAGCCTCTCAGGAGACAGGTCTGAAGAATTGGCTGGATTAATAAAGTTTCTTGAATACAGTATATGTGTGTTTATGTGTTTATGTGTCGATGACACACGACGTGGAACCAACACAGATTTTACTTCATATCCTTTTGTGCTTTTTACAATTCTGAATGTAAAATATGTCTGAAATTTCATTTATAATGTTCTTTAAAAGCTCTTTTTAACAATCTCCAATGTTGGTTTGGTGGAAATAAATCCTCAATTCACAGAGGTAGATAAGAAAATAGCCTCGAAACATTGTGCTATTATTATTATAGAGTCCGTCCACCAACAGTAGTTGTTGTTTGTTCCACTAACAGTAGTTGTTTGTTCCACTAACAGTTGTTGTTTGTTCCACTAACAGTAGTTGTTTGTTCCACTAACAGTAGTAGTTGTTGGTTTTTTCTGCTATCGATCTTCATCAGTTAACTTCAATCATTTCTTCATCGAAGCCATCAACCTGTCTATTAGACCCGATCCCAACTAGGCTGCTTAAAGAAGTTGTACCCTTAATTGGCACTTCTTTACTGGGTATGATTAATCTTTCTTTATTATCAGGATATGTACCACAGTCCTTTAAAGTAGCTGTAATTAAACCCCTTCTTAAAAAGTCCACTCTTGACCCAGGGGTTTTAGCCAACTATAGACCGATTTCTAACCTCCCCTTCCTCTCTAAGATTCTGGAGAAAGTAGTCACCAAAGAGTTGTGTGACTTTTTACATAACAATAGTTTATTTGAGGATTTTCAATCAGGATTTAGAGTTCATCATAGCACAGAGACAGCTCTGGTTAAAGTTAATAATGACCTTCTGACTGCTTCTGACAATGGACTTGTCTCTGTACTTGTATTATTAGATCTTAGTGCTGCATTTGACACCATTGACCATAATATTCTTTTACAGAGACTTGAGCATCAAATTGGCATTAAAGGAACCGCACTAAGCTGGTTTAAGTCATATTTATCAGATCGCTCGCAGTTTGTACATGTTAACGATGAATCTTCAATAAATACTACAGTTAGTCATGGAGTTCCACAAGGTTCTGTACTTGGACCAATACTATTTACTTTATATATGCTCCCTTTAGGCAACATTATTAGGAATCACTCCATTAACTTTCATTGCTATGCAGATGATACGCAGTTATATCTATCAATCAAACCCAATTAAATTAATCAATTATCTAAATTACAAACATGTCTTAAGGACATAAAATCCTGGATGAGCTGCAATGTTCTGATGTTAAACTCAGAAAAAAACAAAATTCTTGTTCTTGGCCCCAAAAACCTTAGAGACTCACTGTCTAAAGATATAGTCACTCTAGATGGCATTAACTTGGCCTCTAGCACCACTGTCAGGAATCTTGGAGTTATCTTTGATCAGGATTTGTCATTTAATTCCCACATAAAGCAGACCTCTAGGACTGCCTTCTTTCATTTACGTAATATTAGAAAAATTAGACACATACTATCACAGACAGATGCAGAAAAACTAATCCATGCATTTGTTACTTCAAGGCTGGATTACTGCAACTCTTTATTATCAGGTTGCCCCAATAAGTCCATTAAAACGCTCCAATTAATTCAGAACGCTGCAGCACGAGTACTGACAGGAACTAGAAAAAGAGATCACATCTCTCCTGTACTAGCTTCTCTGCATTGGCTCCCTGTAAAATGTAGAATAGAATTTAAAATCCTCCTCCTCACCTATAAAGCTCTTCATGGTCAGGCCCCTTCATATCTTAAAGAGCTCATAGTACCCTATTACCCCACTAGAACACTACGTTCTCTGAATGCTGGGCTACTTGTGGTTCCTATAGTCTCTAAAAGTAGAACAGGAGCCAGAGCCTTCAGTTACCAAGCTCCTCTCCTGTGGAACCAGCTTCCAGTTGTGGTTCTGGAGGCAGACACCCTCACCACATTTAAGAGTAGGCTTAAGACATTCCTCTTTGATAAAGCTCATAGTTAGGGCTGGATCAGGTGAGTCCTGAACCATCCCTTAGTTATGCTGCTATAGGCCTAGACTATCGGGGGATTTCCCATGGTGCACTGAGCTCCTCTCTTCCTCTCTCTTTCTGCACTCATTCATGTTCCATTAATGCATGTTACTAACTTCACTTCTTCCCCGGAGTTCTTGTGCTTTCTCGTCTCGCAGGTTCTCATGGATCCTGGTGGAGCCTCCTGCCATGGTCCTGCTAGATTGCCATTGCCAATACTGTTGTTGCTGTGCACCTGTCTATCTGTCTGTCTCTCTCTTGCTCTCTCTCTCTCTGTGTCTCTCTCTCTCTGTCTGTCCTGAGATTCTAACAGTAGCTGTTGTTTGTTCCACTAACAGTAGTTGTTGTTTGTTCCACTAACAGTAGCTGTTGTTTGTTCCACTAACAACAGTTGTTGTTTGTTCCACTAACAGTAGTTGTTGTTTGTTCCACTAACAGTAGCTGTTGTTTGTTCCACTAACAACAGTTGTTGTTTGTTCCACTAACAGTAGCTGTTGTTTGTTCCACTAACAGTAGTTGTTGTTTGTTCCACTAACAACAGTTGTTGTTTGTTCCACTAACAGTAGCTGTTGTTTGTTCTTGTTTGTTCCACTAACAGTAGCTGTTGTTTGTTCCACTAACAGTAGCTGTTGTTTGTTCCACTAACAGTAGTTGTTGTTTGTTCCACTAACAGTAGCTGTTGTTTGTTCTTGTTTGTTCCACTAACAGTAGCTGTTGTTTGTTCCACTAACAGTAGCTGTTGTTTGTTCCACTAACAGTAGTTGTTGTTTGTTCCACTAACAGTAGTTGTTGTTGTTTGTTCCACTAACAGTAGCTGTTGTTTGTTCCACTAACAGTAGCTGTTGTTTGTTCCACTAACAACAGTTGTTGTTGTTGTTCCACTAACAGTAGTTGTTGTTTGTTCCACTAACAGTAGTTGTTGTTGTTTGTTCCACTAACAGTAGTTGTTGTTTGTTCCACTAACAGTAGTTGTTGTTTGTTCCACTAACAGTAGTAGTTCCTGTCACTGACAGACTCAGGTTGTTATTGTCAGTGTCTGACAGCATTATGGAAAGGATCCCTACAGAGATAGACCTTTAGTTTAACCACAAACAGCCGTAATATCACTATCACTCTCCACCAGATTTTACAGAAACAAAATGAAACTCCTGCCAACTCTGGGTTGGTGGAAATAAATCCTTAATTCACCGGTGTAGATGATGAAACCACTGTTTCAGTCGGAGCAGATGGCTATGGAAACAAACTCTTAATGAATGAAATGTGAGAGTTTTTAATACTGTCGAAGAACTTTAGAGGAAATTGAATTCACTGCTTTTTAATCACCATAGAAATGCAGATAATTGCTTACAGTAAATGTGTGGCAGAGAGTCAAAGAGGGGAGATCATATTTAACTTCAGGGTGAAAACACGTACCAACAAGCCCAGAGCTTAGCCTGACTCACACAGCTCAAATGATGGAGAGTAAACATTCTCCCAATGTGTCACTGCTGTGGAACGAAGGAGGCCAACCATCCAAACATTTGTCCTGGAGCGACTGGAGCAACTCATTTACTCGTATGAAGCTGCGACTATGCGACAGATCCAGATGTTTCTGACTCTATAGATGAGAGCAGACCATCCAGGTGCTGACAGTAAAATACCATAAAATAAGAACAGCATGTTGATTTTATCTATTAGGACAGCGGTTCCCAACCTGGGGCTCTGGACCCCCACTTGGGATCGCCAAAGCTTCACAAGGGGGTTGCGTTGCCTTTTTTTATTTTAAGATATGCTAGAAAGCTTGAAAAATATGCCCAGCAGACCGATATCTCAGTATTTCATTCATATCTGTGATGAAAACGAAATAATTTTGAAAGTTTTGATTACACTGTAAAACCAGATAAGTTAATTTAACTCAAAAAAAAGTGTTGAAACTGATAAAAATGTTAAACTCAGTTGTGTAAGTTAAAACTTTTGCAAGGGCAGGTTTGGTGTATTTTGCGTTCTGGTTTTGTTGGCAGTATAAGTACAAAGTTATACAGACAGCGAAAACATGAGTGAACATGCCATTGATCTTCGGTGTTATGTATTTCGCAAAACACGACTGACTGATTCGATCCCGCCAACAGCTTTTCATCGCCGGGCGTTGTATCTGGCATAATTTCGGTCTAAATATCTCAAGCGGAAATTCACTGCAGATGCCAGATCTTTCACATTTTAGCAATAATTTCTAAGACTTTTAACCACAAAGGCGTTATCTAAACTAGTATCTGCATGAATGTGTCTTTTGTTTGAGGTCGAGATTTGGGAGTCATTGTAGATGACTCAAGTTTTTGGATGAGCACTGGCTCCAGCGACAAGATTTATTGCTGTTAAAGGCTATAGACGCTGCTGCTGCAATAAGTGAAAGCACCCCAAACCTACTGTGTCTTTTAAAAGACACCAAAGGCTTCAAACAAACTGGACTGTGGACGATGTGTCGTCCGAATAGGTCTGAAGCAACTGTGAACCTATTGTGACGTCACTGAACATCCCGAACCATACCCTGCATTATCGTCTATTTTACTCTTGTACTCTGCTACTTATAGAGATTGAGACCATAAACTCATTAGGAAACTGTTTACTGATGGCTCATTTCTCCATAAGACTCAATACTTTTGGTGTTTTATTGCAGCCAATAGTGCTCCCCCCCGGCCATTACATAGAATGCAGGTTTAAAACACTAAACAGAAGCTCTGTCAGTTATATAAACTGTGCAATCATCTAAAATGTTTAGATAGTCCAGTTAATCCAACTGAAAAAAGGGCTGGCTCCTTCGTAAATTACAATTTCTTACCCAGAAATATCACATAACAAAGTCGTATTTGTATTATCACTATTTATTCTTGTGATTTATAGATTTTATTTGTTTATTACTTCAGTGGTTTAGACGTTGATGATGAAATGCAAAATACAGCAGTTACCTCTCATCTAATATGGAAATAAGCAGAGCATATGTCAGCATAATCAATAATAGGTAGCATCAACTGAGAAGTTATTCTTTTTCTAACCTGAAATGTAA